AAAAGCATTCCTGCTCAGCTTTCGAAAAGAAGGGAGGTCCCCATTTCGAATTCCACAGATGTGAAGTGGGTAAATTTTTTGCTTGATAAGCGCCCCGTGCGTATAAAACTCCGATGAAAGCATATAATTTTGGAGTAGGTAGATCCCATTCAGTCCCTAAAACTCGCAAAGCTTTTGCTTCTGTACATTTTTTTATGGTGTCAATAATAGTATGATCTATTATCACCGAAAATGCTGATTTTATTTTACCAGACATAATATTGCGTTTGACGTATACCGTTGGACCTGACACTTCTCTGAAGCTAAATGGTGGTCTTCCGACTACCGACTCTTCTTTGATTCGATACCAAACAGTTCCATCACGAGCCGTTACACTGTTCTCGATATTTTGCTCACTTTCAGAATCTGATAAAAATCTTTGGCGCTTTTGTCCTCTACGGACATTCAAAATGTTTTCATCTTCATCGTCAGACACGTAATCATGTTGACTTTCCTCAGTGTCAGGAAAATCATTTTCACTTTCACTTTGCTCATCTTCAGATATAGAATATCCCCCGTCTGAACTCGCTTCACTTATGTTCCGAATTCTTTGCAATAATTGTCTCACTGACATATGCGGACATATTCAGGGCTGCAAAACACAGGGCCAATGTACTGAATATAACGCGAATTGTTCACACTGTCGTAATTGATATTTTGTAGGCTCCGATCTTTACTCTCTGACTCTTAATGTAGGACTGCATTTCTATTTTGTTTAGCTAGAAAGAACTCATCGCGAGAGTGTGTTGCTTGAAAATCTCCGTCAAGAGTCTGTTCTGTTTAGCGTCACGTCATAAGGACACGACCGGCTCATGCCGAAACCAGACACACATATCACATTCAGATGAATGAAACTATAACTTGAGAAGTGTATCTGAGTCCAGAACTAAGATTCCATTTGTAGAACTGCAGAAAAATACGTACATTTCGTAAGGGGTCAAATGACTCCTCGCGGTACATAAGGTATGCAAAGAATTTTTCTCGGTCAAAAATAAGCTAAGAGAAAAATAGAAAACGAGAAATTGAATAATCAGATAATAATCAGATAATATAAGAATTTACAAAAAGTCAGATTAGCGAAAGAAATAACAACAAATGTACGATTTTAAAGTAAATTTTGAAAAAAATGGTCATTTGACCCCGCTTGGTACGTTTAGTGATAGAGTAGAATGATTTCGGTTACCTCGTCTATGCTTACTAGCTTCACAATTCGGTATTGAATATTTGACAACACTGTAATGGGTTTCAAAATCATGTTGCTGGTTCATTTGCTGGTTCCCTGACTCACCGTTGTTTAAACGTAGAACCAGTGATAAAATTAGTGATTTATTAGTGAAATAGAACCAAAAAAACGGTGCGCTAAAAAGCAGTGATTTTTTAGTGTGTCGGTATTTCAGGTTACGGGCCACGAAAGTCCGTAAAATGCAATGTTTATTCATATACCTCGTCGGTGGCAACGGTTTGAAAATATTTGTTTTATTATATTACATAAGTATATTTACTGTATTAAATAATAAGCTTATTTTGGTAACCATTTATAATTGCTTAAATTTTTCTTTTACTTTTCTTTGTTGGATTAATTCATCAATTAAATAAATTAGACGATAAACATTATTAACTGAATTACTCAAGAAATTACTGTCTAAAATTAAAATAAAATAATACTGACAATGAATATTGCCTATCTATTTTTAACAGTTACATGTTACAATAAATGTAATCTTTTTTTTGAATAAAGTATATTTATGAATGTAAGAATAGACGTAAAAAATGAAATACTATATGATCACATTTAGGTTTATCAATAAAACGATTAAATATATATACACGATACATTACATAGAAATATATATAAATTCATACCTTTCCGTTTGTTATACTTAATTTGAAATCAAAATTTTCTTGTGTCATCCAAAATCGCCATAATCGGTAACTGTATTCAGAACCAGGTATCTTTACCTGCAATCCAAATAAATTAAAATTAAAACTTCTTGAAAATAGAATAGCAAGTTACATTAATTTTTCAAAGATTTTAAGTATGAATAAAACTTTTAAAGTTTCTAAATACAAATCAAACAATTTACACGCGAGAAGAATAAGTGAAAACACAAATATTTATGTTATGTTTATATAATATAGCTATTGAAGCTGTTTTCAAAGAAATAAAAATACGCGAAGATTTTCGAAGAAAAACAGCTGTTTTTAATTCAGAAATTTATATATTCTGGCAATATCATTTATCTGTTCATACAACAAATGTAAAATGTAAAATTCATAGATATATAACTCGACATTTTTGTGGAGTCAATTATATGTACGTATCAATTTATACGATCAATTTGGTGGAAAATTGTATCAAAAATCTTATAATATGTTAGCATAAAAAAGTTTCGTCTTACTTTAAAAGGATAATAAAACTATAAATTATTTATGCTGAAAAAGAACCAATCAACATGCATATTTTTACGTTCAAAAAGTACTTTAAAATCATTGGAAAATTTTTAGAAAATTTTGAAAATCATTGCTGAACAAATTTTTTATTCAAATCAAACCAAGCAGAAAATTATAACATCAAACATAGCTTGCTTATAGATATTCAATTTAAATTTTATTCACTAATAGTAAGTTATTTACCTACACTTTTTACATCATTATATCACTCACAATAATGATATAGCACATGAAAGTTAGAACTTTAGAATTAAATATTAAATACTACACATTTGCAACAAAATAAATGCAAAGATAATATAACTAGCTTATTCTATATAAATATTAAAATTAGAAGAAAGATGAAGGAAAAAATGAAAACAAATAGATATAAAACAGAATAGTTAGAAGAACAAATAGAAATATAAATTAGAAGCAAAAAGAGGAAAAATTGAAATAGCCAGAAAATTATTAGGAGTAGCAGCTAAAAAAAATGGAAAAAACACGGCAGTAATGAAAAACAGAGTTGAGAAAGAAAAATTTTATTATTAAAGATTTGGTGGTGAAATAAAGAAGAAAGAGGCTTTCATTAGAGAAAACGTTTGAAATGGGCAAGAAAAAAGGAAAGGTAGGGAAATGTCGATTGCAAAATATGGAACCAAAAATAATAAAAAAAGATTATGAATAAAAAAAATTGATAAAAATCTTTAATGATTTGATAAAGCAGTTGGTTAGAGAAAAATCAGTATAAAACTATAAAGGTTCCTAAAGTGGGTCATGAGTTGATTTCTAATGGGTTGCGAAAAATTTCTAAATATAAGAGTGGTTTACATATTTAGTGATGTACTGATGTATATGTAAGCTTAAACTAATACAGCAATATTTTTTTATTTAATGTCGTATCTATAAAAATTTGGGAATTATTGCTGGCAAATTCTCGTCTTAATGGAGTAGACGAACATTACGTTGTTAGGAATATGTTACAAAATAAGTCAGCTAGCTTGCTCAACTTAAAGTTTGGTCAAGAGTCGAAAAATACAAGTGGGAAAATCTTACATAAAAAGGACACGATAAGAAAGGGTCCACAACGTTAAGAACTCATTTTGATATGAGATTCCAAATATATAGTCTCGTTCTTGCTCTTTCTGATAAAGTTTTGTCCAATTGTAAAATATAAGTAAGACGAATTTTTATTTATACCTCTAGAACCTAACATACAACATAAACACAACAGATATGATAACGGTGTAGAATAATAATTTCAGGTAATAATAGTGAAAATCATTTAATATCAGAAATTTCCGAGCATTAAACTTAATGCAGATACCACTGAGTACCTGTTAGAAAAGAAAGGAAAAAACATTCTGATAATATCAGATGGAAGCCACATGAAATTAACTTTTAATTCAATGATAAAAATAGAAACAGTAAAAATGGTAAAAACAGATAATGGAAAATGAAAGAATTCCAAACACTACGTTGAAAAAAAAAGGAAATGTATAATCAACGTAGATTCAACAAAAAGAAAGAACAAATCAACAAAATAATAAGGCAACATGGAAAAATGGGATGATTGGAAAATCTGCAACAGTCAAATGTAATATAGAATCTAAATCAAGAAATGGAAATTGGAACTTACACTTAAACTTCCTCTTATCTTTATTCAAGCTATAAATATAAATCCGTTAAAAATACTTAAACAAATAAAACAATAGATCCAAAGGAATTTCTACAACAGAAAAGAGATTAAATTACAAATTAAATTACATTTTTTTCAGATGTATACAGATCAGTTATAAAAATGTTTAAAAATAAGGATACGAATTATTAATTGGAAATAAGGATACAGAGTGTCAAGGCTAAAGTTATATTACGTAACATTTATGACATGAATATGTTCCAACTCAGCGTTGGAAATCAAAAATTTCTAAAACCATTTGATCACTTAGAAAACTTCAATCTAGGCGCCCTATAAATTTAATCAGCCTCAAATGCGACGAGGTCTTCCACACCATAAGATTGCCATATCATAAACACGTGCGCATTCGAAAGATTGTATAGACAAGGGGATAGTTTTCAAAAGACAACCGTTCTCAGAAATACTGCCTTACTCAAATCACTCTCATGGAGAACGATGGAAAAGAATAATCCAAGGCTCGATAAGAAAAAAAAGACGATCTAGGAAATGTAGGAGACATTACCCAGACAACGTTATAAATATGATGTCACGGATGCATGTCCGGGATACAGTACCGTTAGGCCCATAAAGTAATTGCCAAAATTACTTTATGGGGCTGACCTGGCCAATAGCACGTTAACTATAAAATAACTTACCTTCCCGATCACGTGATCGGCCTAGATTCAACAGTCGGTTGATAGCAGAACTGAGCAGCGTATCTGCAGGCACATGGACGATAGCCAAGAGAAAAGCCACAGAAGAACAAACTAAGATTATCACCACAAGAAAAAGGACCACATCCTTCTCAGATTTACCTCCCATCATAAATATGCAGCAAGATATGGAACACATCAACCCAGCCATCTCTACCAAAAACAGGTACAGCGTTCGCTGACTGTTTGATCATCGCAAACCCCCAAGCAATTCCATCACGGCTCCCAAAAAAATTCAGCCATCCACTCCCCCCCATCTATATTCACGGCAACATAAACTGCTGAGCTTCTCAATGATCCAAAAGACAAGTACAACAACGCTTTCTAAGCAAAATATACTTCCAGCAAGCTTAAAGTCATGTTCGCATCATGTTCAACATTAACGATTTTTCTGAATTTAGAACAATCTGTCTAAAAAAAAAAA